CCATTAGTTGAGAGATTAACTAAGGAGAAAAGGTAAAATGTGAGACAAACTGACAGCAGTCTATAGTTTCAGCTTTTGTGAAAGAACAGCTGGGTTATGGGTGTTTTGAAAAGCAGTTTATATTACAGTCGGTTAAACTGGATAGTAGGCTGAAATGAATAGTTCCTTTTTTTTTACATCACAGACTTAATATGAAAGAATCTCAGAAGAAGATCAGGTCCAAATAAGTAAATGTAATTCCAATTAGCACAACAGAAAGCCTATTTACATGTATACACAGTTGCTGTGTTAGTGTTCAGGATACTAAATCAACAGGAAGGCCACAAGGGCAGTTAAAATAAACCAGTTCTTACCCATTACAAAGGACCAAATATCGCACTTGATTACACTAATCTTATTTTTCTCAAGAAGAAATATAGATGAGAACTTCACATTGCAAATCTCACTGTTCTGTACTCACCAGTTTCATTGTCCAGAAAATCTGAAATCAACTGGAAGCTTTTTTCCTGTACAGCTTCATTAAAACCTGAGGATTAGCTGAGATGAAGAATATTCGAGCTTGGAGAGAGCTGTTATCAATGCAGGGAGTAGCAATGCCCTATCAAATAGCCTTGTCTTTGGTTTCCATGTCATCAACTATCTGGATACCCGGAAATAAGACAGGAAGAAAAGTACAGATGAGTTCTTAGATGCAGTTCTGCTTTACAATGCTCAGTGGTAAACTGAGTTATCCCTGTGGAAGTAGCCTAGAATATATGCAATATTTTAATGTAGATAGCTGAGAAGTCAGAAACTATGCTTATAACTTCATTCTATTCTATTCTGTAACTTCATTCTATAACTTCATTCTATTCTAGGATGTTGTTCAACACTTTGTTGTTCACCATAATACAGGTCAGATGCACTTTCATTTAAAAAAAAAAAGATGTATTACCAATTAACTCCTAATAGCATGAAATTAAGTGTAGGCAACTGAGGTTTATCATTCCTAGTAAACATGCTTGATTTTGATCTTCAGGACACATCTTAAACCTCCTTCCTTTCACCTACTGTCTGCTCAAGACTCAAAAGGTAGTCTGGCTAGATTTGTGATTCTGGTGTCTCTAATTCTTTGCTTTTCTCTTAAAAATGGGAGAACATTTACAAGGATTTGCACAATGCTTTAGTTTTCCAGTAAGCAATTGCTGTATTTGTTAGAAACACTTTAAGGTCTCAAATTGTAGGGGCTTGCGTTTGTGGATGGAAGAGGAACCTCTAGAAGAGTTTCTTATTAGAATGTGAGAGAAATCTTTGAAATCTTGCATCTATGGTTTCTATTTGAAACTTGAAGAATGAACTCATAAGGTCCAAGACAGAAGTTACTGTAAGGAATATGTAGTGCACTTGGGACAAATCAAGCACCTTGTGGCTATTGCTTCTTCTTTTCTTTGTATCTGTTTCTTTTATCACCACTTATCACCATTTATCACTTTTGTCACCAACATGTAAATGTTTCAGAGAAAAATTAACTCCTATGGCACACAGCTCAGTGGAATTGGCTTATCTTTTTATTTTCTTTCTTCATCCTTGTTCATAGGCTACTATGTGGTTATGAGCATCCCGGCAAAGCACAGTGAGCAGAAATATGCTGTGGCTGCTGCACGTGAAGATACAGCCTTTGGTAACTTCTGTGGTGAGCCGCTAGAGGCTGCTAAGCAAACGTAACCCATAGCCTCACCCGGTGAGGATGCTGGAGGAGGTTAGGGGCAAAGCTGAAATGAAAAAACATCACTTGCTTGAAAGACGATACATTCTTCCTGGTAGAGACAGTGAAGAGTTGGTGGAATAGAAACAAAGAAAGTAGAGACTTCCTTTTCTGCTCTCTGGGTCATTTCCTTTGCTGGTTATAAGCTTTAAAAACTAAAGACAAGATCTTGCTGACTAATGCTATTTCTGTTACACATAGAGGCCACTCAGCTCAATAAAATGGCTTGGGGAGGTGGAGGAGAAGTACACATAGAAACAAATTGAACTCCTGCAAAAATCAAGGGTTTTCATCCATATCCATCCTTTTGAATAACTGCTTGAAAAAATGTGTATGTACAAATATATATAATATATTAAAAAATAAATGCACACTGCAGAAAGGATTCCTAGGGGATTCTCTTTGATTCTCCTGTCCTCCCATTTCTGTCATCCAGCAGCATATCTTATTAAGCTCAACTGAGAAAGAGAACTGTTTTTCTGTTCACTGAAACTGCTTTCTCTTCAGTGAATATATCAATTGAATATTTTATTTTGATGCTAAAGTCATATAAGGAATAACTGTAAATATGAATCCTAGAACTTAAAAAACTTGATTGAAGAACTTCCGTGCTGATAAAACATTTTACACAATGTAGATGTCATGAGTTACCAGAACGGTCTATGCAGGAGGAGTGAATTGCATTACCAGAATCTACAGATTCAAAGGAAGAAGAGCAAATAAGGTGTCAGAGGCGACTGTGGGTTCTAAAGTGGCCTCCTAAAATGCTAGTCATCTGAATCCTGAAATCCTAATTTAGTGTTGTGGAACTGAAACGGCAGTGAAGTCAGAAGCTGACTAGCTGCCCAGTGTTGATTCATCTGAGGTGTTAAATGCTGCATCAGTTAAGCAAAAACAGTTGAGAAAGAAGCTGTTTCCTGGGGATTAACGGGTGATGGGGGAAGGCTTAATAGCCCGAGGCTGCTTTTGTTTTTAAGAGGTGGGATGGGGAAGAAAAGAATCTGGCTGCATGGTATTTATTCATGAGCAAAGCTGGCTGATAGGATCAGGATGTTCCTAAAATGACCACTCCAGTTGTCAGATTGAATCCTTTTCTCAAAAATCGGAATCACCTCATAGCAGATTGAAATTGTACTTAAAGCAACAGTTCAAAGGCTCTGTCTATGCACACTGCTATACATAAATCTGTTTGGAGGTGCCTAGGGAGCACACACAAAATGCATATGCTTGTGTGTCTGATGTGTTGAAAAGGTCTGTCCTTCATACCAGCAAGCTTTTGTGAGGCTGTGGGAATCGAACACTGGCAGCTCTGTCCAAGATCAGTTTCTCTGTCTCATGCTTTGATTTTTATAGGAAGCTTAAAGACGGTGCTTTTCTGTTCTTCTCTAGCCATTTCATCTCTCTGTTAGTTTTCACTCTGAAAAAGTTTGAAAATGTAAAATTCCATAATTAATTTGAAAGATTACCCAGAGGCTAAAATGGTTGCTGTGGATATTTAAAATAACACCGCTGTGCAACTATGAAAGCATGACCCATTCACTAACAGACAGCTTACTGCTCAATCTCACTGTGTTGCTTTGTCTCCTTCAGTACATGCATCTATGAGGTAAATGTTGTGTCTTTAGACCAGTAAGGAGGCTTGGTCTATACTGAACTGATGAGAATGTGTACCTTAATATTCCAGGTATAAAATCTTAGTCTGTTCCTTGTCACACCTCAAACTAACACACTTGTTTTGAGGGACCCTATGAGGTTAGAATGCCATGATCACTCTTCTTGGTAGCAGTATTCCAAAAGCAGCTCTTCTAAACCCAACTTGCCTATCAAAAAAAGACATACAATGTGAAACTGTAAATTAATCTAGCTAAAGGATAGTTTTGGGGGTCTAGGCCGCTCCTGGTTACAAACACACATGCAAAAACATGTATAGATTTTTTATTTATTTATCTATCTATTTATTTATTTATTTTGGTACAGTAGGTCATGAGAAGAATGTTGCATTGCGGCTTTGGACGATTTTATGGTTTGATCCCCCTCTTGACTGTGCCCCTCTTTGTATGCAGGCTCTGGCAGTAACCCTGCAGAACAAAGTCGTGTTGATGACTGAAATATGTTTTACTGATGATTTAACAACTTGCATTGGCTCAGCCTGGGTCTGACCACAACCACCGCATGTATAAAGAGATGAGAAATATGAAGCTGTGAAAGAAAAGAGTGGGGAAACAAGAAGGACCTCCCACTTCTGGTGGCAAGCTGTCAAACCAGCTTAGCTGTAATATTTTGCTTCAAGAAAAGTTTTGCTTGAAAAGACAAACATCAAACTAAAGATTTCCTAAACAGAGTTGAAGTTCAGAATACAATTCAAACTTGCAGATGCTCATGTGAGCCTGTTTTATACCTCATTAAACCATTAAAGCTTCAGATTTAGGTGTGACTTCTCCTTTGACATTTGTTTCCTTCGGTGATATCATGCAATGAAACAATGCTTACAAAGATGCAAATGCTCTCAGCCAAGTTTGCAGTAATCTTACCACATACACTAAGTGGCAGAGCAATGTATCAGTTTAAGAAACTGCCAAGATAGTAATAAACCTTAGCTCAGCATTTTCCTGGCAGTGCTGCGTATTAATATGCTATCACTGATAACCCTTCTGTTTCCTGTCATACAGAGTATCCAGCAGAAAGGATCATGTGAATACTCCCTAACAGTGTATGGGCAAAATTATCCCAGATGTCATAGAACACCTTTTGTTGAAAGCTAAGCAGATGATGACTTTGAAAGAAATTGGATCGTGTGTCCTGCCCTGGTCTGAAGACCACAATGGCTATACATAGTTTTTTAGAAGCTCTGACAAGCAAATGGGATGTGTTTTATGGTTGACAAAACTGTTTAAAGTAATCTATAGCAAGTCCATTCCTTACTTAAAGGCTGAACAGATCTTTGAAATGCCTTTGTCTGGCCAAATATTAGTACCTACTTCTGTATTACCTAGCAACAATTCACAAGGAAAAATGATTGGCTGTAGATTACGTGAATTAAGTCATGAATTGTGTTCACTTTCTAGAGCATAGCTTGACTATCCTGATAACTAGAAAACATTCAAGCAGAGGATGCCACATTATTCAGTAAGGGTTAACATACTAATGATAAAAGCTAGCCTGAACAAACAAACTGGTATTTCAATTTACCATATGTGATACAGTTTCTATTAACAAACACTAACAATGATGTAGATTTTCCTCTTCCCCTTTTCAGAACTATGACTCAAGACAGAAGATAAAGTCTTTCTCTAACAAGTTGAAATGCTCCTTATTGAGACAAGCTGTACAGCAGAGCAACTGCAGTAGAAGCATTTGTCCTCTTGGCTAGAGTGTATTGTGGATCCACTGTACAAGAACATTTTCAAAGGTGACTTTCAAAGTTCTGTGTGGGCTATAGACAAAAATGCATGCTTACAAATGGGAAAAGAATATCCATGGCCTCTTCAAAGTTTCTATGTATCACCTCAATGTTATGAAAGTCTCATATCTGATTCCCACATGTCAATATTACATGTATGTAAACATACATATTTTATATTTAAAACTGGATATGTCTATTATTTTGTGGTTTTCTTTGTAGTGCATATGAAGTGTGAAACTTGCTACTGTTTAAACATGTCTCCTGTATTTTTTAGGTACAACTACTTATTTTGAAACACATCTTCAGAGTAAAAAAAGTAAATAAATCCAGAGAACATACAAATGTCTAATCATTCCCAAGACATTAAGGAGAATTATTAGAATTACGTTGAACAAAGCAGGAGAAGCAGAAGGGTAAGGATGTGCAACTGTTGAGCAGAGGTTTCTTCCATTATGCTTTGTAAAGCCAACAAAACCAAGAATATTTTCAGATTGTTAGTCACTGAAGGCTGACTTCGTTAATCTGAATAGGGTATGATTAGCCCAATGGTCCAACAACAGAAGTAGGCTAGGTACAGCTTAACGTTTCATTTTTCTATTTCATACAAATTAATATAAATCTGTAATTAAATAGGAGACCATAGGAGGAGGAATTCCATAATTAGGTATTGTTTCAGATGATAGCACCTACCATTTGATTAAAGCGTGAGATTGAAATGCAGAGCACTGCTGTAGGGTACTGTGCCACCACCATCTGCCAGTGCATTTCTTTTAAGATGTTCATATTTTCATGGTGAAACACAAATGCATCATGATATTATGTCCCCTTAAAGGTCTCATCCACTAATTTCAACTTTTTAGAGCGTAGCTCTGTCCAAGCCAATATATAGTCATGTAGAGATTAAAAGACAGTTCCATTAGCATCATTCTTCTCCTTAGCAATGGGCAAAGAAAATAACGTTTTGAATTCTTCAAAACGAAGTTCAGTATCATGAATAACCCTCATACCTGTGTTCATTGCATGTCCTACCGTGGCGAAATAAAATGCATCCGGTACAGCAGGAGCAATTCTCCTGATCTATTCTCATACAGATCCAGCGTCCAATAACTATAATATAGCTGATGTATTTAAAAATAATGGAATCCATTGTTGCTTTACATTTCAACAGAAATTCACCCTTGCATTACTGAAGATTGTGAAACAATGGAGTCTTTTATCTGCCAACTTCTATTGAGTTTGCTTAGCAGGAAGCAGTAGATGAACCCCTACGCATCAGAATAGTTATGTGCAGGACGCTGCCATCACAGCTGACATCAGTCACATCACTCAAGCTACTTCTTGAGAAATGGGTTCAATGGTAAGAAATACTAGGTCTTTTCTAGGCATGTGAAGTGCTTCACATCTGGGATCTGTGCACACCCTCAGAAAGATTCAGTCACAATCCTGCTCTGAACTAAAACCTGCCATAGAACTCTTTTGTACTTTTCTAATTAAATGAAACATATCTCCATCTCACTCCAAAGAAGACAAACACCTCTTCATTTGTGACGCAAATGCAATTTCAGGCTCTTTATTAGTAGGAGCAGGCATCTTGAGCTCCCAAATCCTCACCGGGAATTCTTCTATTCACCCTGCTGTTGTATCAAGGGTAGCAAAGTGAGACATCTTGACTATGACTGTGGCAATGCTGGGTATGCATGCATTTATGCACAAATGGGGAGGAGAAATGAGAGAAAAAGGGAGATAATGAAAATATATATACCCATTCCAATAGTACTATTTAGGTCATAATCAACATATAAAAAATATCCATTTAATTCTAAAATGCACGCAGTGCTGACAATTCAGTAATGTAACTTAAGCAGTTCTTGAATATTCCATAATGGTACTGCTGATAGGAGAGGAGGAAAGGTTTCCTGAAGGGGCATTCTGAATGGAAAGACTGTTTGTTTCCTAGGCAAACATTATGGGGGAAAAAAACCATAACCAAGAACACTCCTATGTACTGCTGGTAGAAAAGTCATGTTCAAATCAAGTGTGTAAATATTAAATGTATAATGGAATGGCACTGTAGCAGGTGTGAATTTCATTCTATTAAGACACTGTTTCATGGAGTGTCACTTTCTTTCCTTCATTGGAGGAGAGAGGCCAGTTGTACTGTGTGTCCTAAACAGTGTATTAAATATGTATTCAATTTATACTTGTCATTTTATTTTCACTATTATCGTGGGAAACCGTGGTATATACAGTCTTGTAATCATTGTGTTGCTGTATGCTGAGTTTATATTCTGCGTTTTCAGGTGCTTGAGATAAAGTGTAGAACACATAGAAACCAAAGGAAGATTTCTAGGAAGCCAGAAAGGCTAAAAGGGAGACAGATCATGTGTCTGCCTTTCTCTCAGACGCTGAAGGAGCACAAAGGTAAGGAATGAAAAAGAATATATAAGCAAAGCTCCATGTGTATGAGCATGTACAGTACGCAGTATGGGCATGATAGCAATGGGTTGATAGTTGCACCTGACATCCTTAGAAGTCTTTTCTAACCTATGATTCTATGATTCTACATCTTTGGTCAGCTTGCAATGTCAATGTTAACATTATGTTATTGAAATAATGTATTTTGCTCTAGGAAATAGATTAGAAAATTGAACTTTTATATTTTTCCTTCTCTGGAATTCAAGGTTGATGCCATTGAAGTATTTGAAATTGAAGTTAGCTTTGTATGTCTTTTTTTTTCTTTCTCTTTTAGCTCTAGAAGATACAGATTCCTAAGCTTCATATATAAAGCACACTCTTAAAATTAACTTTCTCACTCAGGGACACAGTTGTAAGATTTTATAAGTTTGAGAACACATTCCTGAACATCTTTACTTCAGTATTCCTCATCCATTGCATAAACCATCATGCCCAAAGCTAAGCAAATGCCATTGTTGAGGTGTGACAAGCTTCTAATCTAGCTGTGATTGCACTGTGGAAAGAAATGAACAATGGAAAGTAAATCTGGTATTAAATAACAGCACATGACAATGAACATTTGTTGCCAAGAATTAGAAACCTGTGAGCCTGTCTTACACTCTTGCCTTAATTAGCCCTTTTCCTGAAACAGATTTAACTTTTTTGTAGACTATATAATCCTGACTGCTAATCTGTTTTGCACGTCCATTAAGATTCTACTAAGAAAGGGATGTCTTCTATTCTACTTGAGAACACAAAAAAACCCCACTTTTCTGCCTTATGCAGCATATTGACCATACAACAATGAAGAAGTTGCTCCATGACTGTGTATACAGTGATTTGTAAATCCCTTTGAGCCAAGTCTTGAGAAAGACTGCTAATAAAAGAGTATTGCTTCACATGACTTCTTTGCAGGGCTGTAGACTACGTACCTCCGCCCCCAATTGCCTGGGCTGTTTGCATACTGGGGCTTTGGTTGCTACTACAGATAAACTGCACAAATAAATGAATCTGGCTGTTACTTTATATTCACTTGCCTTGTTTCAGTGTATGTATGTTCACAACCTCTTCTCTGCCACTTCTCAGTAGTACATTGTGACTGTATGGGGGTAGAGAACGATGTTGCTCTGCAGCAATTAAAATCCCAAGATGCACAGTATATCTATACTGCTTTAAGGCCTGTGGAACCAAATTGTAACTCAAAGTGTGAATCTTTTCCTATTACATTTGAGCCTGTATCATGGTAATCTATACTGCAGGTTTAATCCTACTAATAGCAAGAGGATAATCATAGTAACTGTGTAATGTTTTTAATTTTCTGGTGTAATTTTTAAGTTTCTGGTGTTGTCTGTAAATATTTTCCTGTTTTAACAAATTATGAAGGGAATGTTGCATGATAATGCTGTTGATTTTCTGTCATTTCTTTTACCTGTTGTGATTTTGAAATAGTTTTGTGTCCATGAACTGGATGATAGTGGTCATGTTCCTACAGAATACAATTGCTTTTATGTATTCCACCTTGCTGCAGTGCCAGTAGCTACCGTATAAGTCATCATTACCATCCACCCAAGCATTCGCAGCTACTGTCATCTGTAGCATGTTACCAGAACTCTAAGAAATAATGATCTGAAGTCCCAGTCTTTTATATGAAATTACTTTTTTTCTTTACTGTTACACAAACTCTACTGCTGGCCTATTTGCAGAACGCTGTGTCAATAAAATGAAAGATAGTTTTATATCCTCAGTCAGAAGGTTAAAGGAAGAATCTGTGAAACAACTGGAATGATTCATCAGTAAGGAGAGGTTTCTGAGTGTTCAATGTGCTTTAGGCAACTCCAGGCAGCATAAGTTTCAGCAGAAAGTTTTGTGCTTTGATTTTTATAGTACTGAATATGTATTTTAAAAATTATGTCTTTACTATGTAATAAAAAGTCCTTATCTTGATATAAATATTAAGGAGCGGTCAAAACTGACACATATTTTGATATAATTCAAATTGCAGGTGAACCAGGAAAAGGAAGATGTAAGTAAACTAGCAATAATACCACACTGCCAAAAAGCACTGAGAGAAGGAGGGTTGTTTACATATAATGAACCCTCATCCTGCCAGTCTACCATTACTGTAATACAGTAGTAGAATATGTATTACCCCAGAAGGATTTGAGAGCAATCCACCATTTGTTTTCTTCCAGTCACAGAGCAGTCACCAGTGGAAGAGCTGGATTCAGATGATGAAAGGATAGGAGACATATTACCAATATCCTAAGTATAAATTTATTTGAAAAAATACATCTCTCAGTAAACACTGCCCAAAAACCTTTCATGAACTATTGTATGAGAACACACAGGTGACATGCAATGGCTTTGCCAGCTAGCCAAGATCTTAAGATGTAGTCATTCATGCTCTTTTTCTTCCTATTATCTCTTTGGCATATAGGAGACTGCTCTTAAGGCTATTCTGTGCAGGAAGTGCTAAGTATGTTCATAAAGGTGTGGCTTAGCTCCCTAGCAATTCCATGGTAACACGGGTGTAGTAAACTAGCCTTAAGTAAAACAAACAAGCTTTGTGGAAATCAAAAGCTGAGAATGCAAGCTGTCTCTTTGATTAAAGCATAAAATCTTTGATTTAGGTGGTGAGCTGCACCTTGTTTCCCTGCATCCAGCAGTTTCACAGGGGTTGGATGCATTATGTCTTTCAGTGCTTTCAATGCTAATGCAAAGGAATGTTTTTAAAAATCCCTTTTTGCAAGATGTGAGGAAAAGAGGATAAATTTATATAGTCGCAAAAATGTGGCTAAAGGGAAAAGCCTTGTTTCATTTACTAAAAACCTCATCCTATACAGAACGGCTTACCTGAAAGTGAGGAACAAAGCAGAACACTTAATACGAAACAGAATCTACACCCTTTGTCATGTTTGTCTTCCCAGGGAATAAAGATGAATAGCATAAGCTTCAATTTTGCAGGTGAGTCAGGTTGCTAGTACTTTCATCTGGCAAGAATTTAAAGATGGAATTGCCTTCGACAAAATTCTGCACCGCAAAAACATGCTTTTTCCTACTGTAGATACATCATCAGACGTGGATTCCTACCCACATAGAAAGTAAACCAAAGATCTGAAGGGACCAGATCTGATCTTCAGAGTCTTACAATTTATGCCTGTGCGAAGTAGGTGTAAAGTGCTACCCAACATGACTTGTCTGTTACAGCGATAGCCAGTCTGTCTGCCTTTAGTGACAGCTGCAGGTATTCGGTAGTGACTGGCCACACAAACACTTCATGTGCTTTAAGGCCATGGATTCATAATACTCTAATGCATTAGTACCCTCCATATCTTCCTATTCCCACGAGTCACTTCTTTTTGCTTAGGATAACTGTGTGTGGGACCAACCTCTGAACCAAATGGGGGAATGGATTCATCCTAAGGAATATGCATCCAAACTGAGTTTGTGTGCTGTTCCAAATGGAACAAAACAGTTAAAACCAGTTTTAAATGAATTGTATCTAGCTTTCTAGATCAGGATAGGTATTTCAAAGCCAGTTCAGGGTACAGCCCCACAGATAGTAGCTATGAAAGATTGGGAAGGACAGCAATGACTTAGAATGAATAAATGAGGATTAGAATGAATAAATGAGTCTGGATGAACAAGGTATGCCTGAAACTGGTATTTATCTTTTATACTGGTGTTTATCTTTTAAACCCACAGCTTTAGGGCACAGTTCGTCACATATTATGGCAGGCCACCCAGCTCCTATTTCTGCTACTTCAGTGCAGGTATGTTTTTTTATAGTGCATGTAAGGATTTAATCTATCTTAAAAAAAAAAAAGAGGAGAGGCCAAAATCAGCCCATAACCTGTGGACAAGGAGGTTGGACTTGTCTGTCTCCCCATCCACATAAAGCAAAGCACTGGACAATGGGAAGCAACAGTTGAATGATGGCAAGTCAACCTAAGTCAACGTCTCAGGCAACTACTTTACCCACAGTGTTAGCAGCAGCAGCTGAATGATGGTAAGTCCAAGTTGTGTCTCAGACATCTGCTTTACCTAGAGCACTATCAGTATGTTGACTCTTCTCACTGCATAGCCACACCCAGGTTATGCCAGGCAATTTTCTCTTCTGTGTGCCCTAGGAGTCTTTCCCTTTTGCTTACCACCATACAATTATGTGTAAAAAAGACACAATCTTAATGTATTGTAACTATGTCACACTGCACTTGAAATAGTTACTTGAGAAAATCAAAGAAAGACTGAACACAAGGTGATATTTCCTGTCAAACAAGGGTGTGCCACGTTAACAGAGGGCAGTGGAAAGGAGGTGTGGTAGTATTGGCACTTATAAAACAGCTCTGTCAGAGCATTTTATCACAACTCCAGCAAATTGGGAAGAGAAAGGGCAGAACTAATTCCATCTGCATGCCATGTGCTTACTTATTATCTATGTTTATAAAGCAATTCTGTGCTTATTAAGTGATAAAATGGACTGACTTGCATCAGATGACATCTTAAATTAAAAATTTCTACAGTACACCAAAGGGAAGAACATATTTAGTACATGTGTGTTTAGTACAGACGTGTTAGTATGTGTGCATGGTATGTATCTATATATTCTTGAATACATTTACATACTGCAATATGTGTAATTGGCAGTGTTTCTTCTTAGAAATTCACATCACTCTAATGTTGACTCAATATATTACTAAGAACACTACTATCTTACTTCCATCATTTATTTCACAGCACAATAAAATCTATGATCAAGGCAAAAGAACTATGGTATTTGCTTATCCATACTCAGAAGTTAAAATGAACAGATGATCTGTTAAGTAGAAGCAGTGCCATTAATTTGAGTGAGAATCTGATGACTGTATCCACATAAATATATAGTACAATTCGGTATCCATGCAAGCAATTGCATCTAGAGGAACTGGAGAAGAAAATGGGATACCTGCCAAAACTGTAGTTGTCTTACTTAGTTGTAAATGATAGAGTAGAAGCAAAATGGCATATTAATTCTGCCAGTCTGTTAGTAACTAGTCAGACAAGACTAAGGCCATGTACTTTCAATACAAGACAGTGAAAACCAAAACACAGAAGTTGTGTAAGAGACTTGATTTTCTGGAGAAGATTGTTCCATTCTTGAGAATGGATGTGATAGGATGCAGAGCATGTTTGAAATCCCTGTGTCACTTCCTGAATATGTAATAATTGGTGATGAAGTTGATTGGAAAAAAATAATCCCAATGAAGATGAAAGATCAAGAAACCGCTGTACGATAGGTGGCCTATGGTGTCTCATTTGGATGTACATACTTGTATTCATCAGCATATTATAAAAAATTCATCAATGAATTATCCTTAAAGCCTAAGTGCTTCAACAGCTGTTTAAGTTTTGCTTAAGTTTTGCATTTATGTTTTACTTCTGTTCATTCTTTGGTGAGAAAAAGATGTGCATTAGCATATCTTCATGTGGAATAAGTTTAATTAAATTATAATGAAGAATCAAATATTAGAGCAGCCAAGTCAAATGGGAAAGAAACATTATAGGAACACACCCTCATTTTTATCGGTGTTTTAAGTCAACTGAGGGCTTGTGGTACAATTAAATAAAAAGCCAAAGCTATACACATTACTGTTCTCTGCCAAGATATTTTCATGAAGCTGGTGTCAAGTTGTCAGTAAAGCCTGAGAAAGCGTAACTTGTATTAAGTCATCATTAGTTGTGCAATTTGGTCTGTTGTTTTTCACTGAGCCATTTGAACTTCCAGTATACAGTCTTTTGTATTCCCTTGCTGATGAATGCTTTCATCACTGCTGTCTTGCAGAATTGATTGTCAACTCTCAGTATGTGAGAGTAGTGTATGGCATGATCTTCTGATGTGGATGGTAACATTTACACTTCATATGTTGTCGAATTGTAGTTTATGTTGGAGTTGAAAGTGCATGTTTCAGGTAGCTTTGGCTGATTACGTGTTTCAGTGGATTTCTGAAAACCTTCTTTACCTCCAGTGTGAAGGTGTAGAAGTGAATGAAAGCTGATACTTTGGCTTTTAGCTATTGCAGTTTGAGTTATCAATACATGTGCTTCTCTTCACTGAATTGTGGTGGTGGTGCTGGGGGCAGGGAAGGTGGCGGTGGCTTTTTTGCATTATAGCAGAAGTAACAACTCACATCTCACATAAAATCTTTCTTTTTTTACTGCTGTTTGCCCTGACGTATGTAAAGTGCATTATGCTTTCAGTGGCCAAATAAAGATGTATTATCAGTATGTGTCTTGATCTAAGACAAAATATTAATTTGCATAAGAAATAATATTTTCTGCTAAATTTTTCGTTTTCATGTTGTACCTGAGACTATCCAAAATGTTACTGATTGCATTGAGAATTTATTTGGGCAGATTTTAGGGGCAGTAAAGCTTTACAGAAAGTGATTTTGCAGTCACGAATAAGGCAGATTGAAAGGTTCAGGAAGTACTTGCATATTCATCTCATTAGGTAACAGAAATCCTATCACATGGCTTGTCTGATTTACCGCAGCTTTAAGATCCTGTCTCAACTAGTTTCAGTGAATTATTTGAAAGATCAGATTGGCCAGTAGGAAAAAGTTTCTCATCAGCAACATAGTTGCAGTGTTGGAGCAGGTTATTCCTGGAGTTTTGGAATCATTGTCCTCGGAGGTTTTCAGGACTCACCTGGACAAAGCATTGGTGGCTCAATCTGGTGTTGGCGTAGTCCAGCTCTGACTGCAGTGTTGGACAGGAGGACTTCCAAAGGTCCCTACCTGCTAATATTTCAATGATTCTAATTCCAGAAAACTGTTTAAAGACTTATTTGAAGGGAAACATGACTTCTAATGAGACAAAAGTCTAAATTTACTGTGTAATTGTTTAAACTGGTAACCTTAGTATAAGCTTATAATAATATTAATGAAGGACAGTACCATGCAGGTGCCTTTGGTCCATCCATAAATTTCATAGAAAAATAGAATTTTGGTATTCAAAAGCCTGAAATCTGCAGAAACTCAACTAAACAACTTACAGTTCATTGGAATTAAGTGGGAGCTGAGTATGAATACAACTTTTGTAAGCTTGGACAACGGATTGATTTTCAGCCCATAAGGGAGAGAAACTACGTAAAATGATAGAGAAAGCAATTCCATTTTTATTTATGTAGCCTAGTCATCAGTTTAACATTTTAGTTTGAGTCAAAAATAAATTAAATTCCAGCTGGTGCAGAATTGTGAGTGCTTTCAGTACAGCTTGGTGAGGCTAATATCTGCAGGGTATCAATCCATCAGAAACCACCTTTCTGACACATTTTTGCATATTACCAAGCTTTTATGATTATCCCAATGGGATTTTGAGGCCTCCACACTACATTTACAATCATTACAGACCTACCTGGCAGACCAAAAAATCAGATCTCTCAAAACATCTGGACAGCAATCAAAGAACACTGCAAAGCAGTTCTTCCCATGCCCTTTCCCACTCATTTGCTGTTAAAGAAAGGATACCAAAAAATTCTTAACATACGGGTTTATGTTTCAAGAATTACAGTAAGCTCCTCCTTCAGAAAGCGTTGCCACAGTTGCTTATAATCTCATCTAGGAGCTAAGAACTGAATGGCTCCTGAATGTCTTTTTATGTTTGCTTATAGGTGACATTTCCCCTGCCAAATCATTTCAGAGAGGCTGAGGCACACAGAAAAAATTCTGTTACTGTTGTGCAAATAAACAAGGGTCCATACTTATTTAACTTAGCTTCTTGGTTTCTCAGAAACAAAATGATTTTTTCTAGAAGAGACCTTTGGAGGTCATTTTGTCCACAGTCTCAGTGTGACCAATTTTGAAGTTAGACCTGACTTCATAGTTAGTTTGCATTTCTCAAGGCATTTCAAGCTATTTGACAAGATTCATAATCATTGTCTTCCTTTTAACTGATGAGTAAAGTAGGAAGGAAGTGAGGAAGACAAATAACTTTTTGAGATACAAGTTTGGAACAGAGGACTGACTTTTAGCTACTCTGAAAGTTAAGTTTTGCTGTAGATCTGAACGTAGCAAGGATATCACTCCATATCTCATGTCCCTAAGTTTCATCCTCTTTTTATTTGGCTATCTCAAAAAGACTTCTGTGGTCAGAACATTCAGTCAGTGGTGTTTTTAATAATATTGTAGTAAAAGAGGGCCTTGTTTTTGTTTTGAGTTGTTTCTATTTATGGAACTGAGGGAGGAGTATGTGTGATAAGAGTGAAATTGTCACAGATTTGTCCATTTCAAGCACAATGTATTAAATGAGCTTCTTCAACTTTCTTATGTAACCTAAGACAGTTTTATTTTCCAGTTTTGCTGTATTATAAAAAATAAATGAAAAAAAAATGACTACAGTGCTAACCTTGGATAACGATGAATCTTCATCTTTAAAACTTTTATTCGCCATCCAAGACATTATCCTTGTATGGAGCCTACAAACAAGAACATCTATAAACATGACTGCCAGGATTAAAGCTAAAGGTGAGCCATAAACTTTATTTCAACAAGATCTCGGTTACAAATTAACTTTGCCAATGCCCAGTGTGCAGGGCTTATACCACGTGGTGTTTCAGGAAGTGGATCCTGGTGCTGTTCTCTGCAGACACGCGATGTCATTCCTCTGCATTTTTTAAATCAGTGATGTGGCAGAGTTATGCCCAGAGAGGAGTGGGAAGACAATTGCCAAACTTGCAAATGTATCAAGGTCTTTGGCATTGGTGTGAATTGGGTTTCCTTAACATGAAATGTAGGTCAAGTAAATTCATTTTTATATTCTTTTTTTCTTTTATTTTCATGTTAGATCCTGCAAGACAGGTGCAGAGGTACTGGCATTCTTTATGCCAGTTCATAGGTGCCTGTAAGCATATATGTCAAGCTGTCTAAGAATATATGAAGTGTACAGGTTTCCATTCAAATCCAATAATTATCATTGTATGTGAAGTAGTTACATATTAAGGCTTTGAAATGGCACCCTCATAAAGGCAGCTGAATTGTGCCAGACTTGTGGCTAAGTCCAGCACTTTTTCTTCTGTGAACAGCTAAAATCTGTGTTTTCATTCATATGTACAGATGCTACCTTACCCCAGACACCTCTGTAGCATACATGCATTTAGAATGAGAGCAATAGATTGGGATAAGAAGAACACTTGAAATGAATGTATTTTTATAGTTCTTATAAAGGGATAAGAATCATCCCATACACAATTAACAGGTTATTAATCTGCTTCATTACCAGAATATCCAACCAGGAGGAGTATAAATAGGCTCTTCTAGACAGGCAGTGATGGGAGAAAATACAGCTGCTGTGTGCCAGAAAATACACTACTGAATATATTCTTATTCTGTAAGTATAAGTATGTTACAGATTGAAGTTTTCACCTCCGTGTGTTTGGGAACGTGCCCCTTTCACAGCAGTGATACATCATCAGGACTGCTTTTCAGCTGCACGTGAGCAACAGAGACAACAGCTGAGAGGCATTTAACAGCTACTTTGTGAAGTTCACTGAGCTGCACCTGTGTGCTGTGAAGTTCTCCGCGTGGTCTCCACCAGGTAAATACTTGTAAGTTTGAGTTCTAAGATGGTATCCCTGAACTGCAGTTTACTTTCACTGAAATAAATGTAAATAATAATGCTTTTAGCATGTGAATTGGTGTCTGCCAAGCTGGGTCCATAACTTCATGAGACTTTAAAGCAGCATAAAAAACTGACCAGTTATAAAACTAATATATTAAAAGAAGGGAAGAAAATGAGATGTTAATGTTTAAATCCATTGGATAGTCACAGTTAAATGTCCAGCTCTGCATTTTCCCTGTGTTAGGAGTGACTTAGCAGTAGTAAAGTTTTTTGGTCACCAAAAAGTGTATTTCAACCCAACACTGATATTGAATTACAAACTAAAAATCTGTTTAAACAAGTAAATTAAAAAATGTATAACTTGCAATATTTGTCCTCTAAAAATTATTAGAGATTATTAGTGCTGGTAATAGAAAAAGTAATAGCATAATGAGAGCATTTTAGAGGCTTTTTGGTTATGGCTGCTTTGAGATAAATTTGAGTTTGACAGTGTCTCTAAAAATGTTCGTGGCCCCTAACATTACAGATTCTCCTACTGCTGCCACCCAGCAGAAATGCCTAGAGCAGCATTTCTGTGGTAGCTGAACCAGATGGTGTTTTACCATTGCAGAGTCTCACCTGTGAAACAGAAAAGAGTTATAGAGGAAAAACTGCTTATCTTGAACTGTAACTAATGACAAGGAAATAGTCCTCTATCCAGCCATTTTCTACAGAAAGCACAGGACTTTCTGTTTTGTGTATCATCCTACATACACCTTCTCAAAACCAACAGGATTCAGCTTTGAAGCCTCATACAGGACAGGGCCTAAAATGCAAAGTGCTTTCTGCCAGCGATGTCCGCTAAAGAAATCCTGTGCTCAATTACACCTTTTGTTACACGTAAACTCTGGCACTGATAGCTCAGTTCGGACACATCAACGTCCACAAGTGCAATTAATTAGAAGCAGGTGACGATTTTTCGTTTTGAGGATTTCAAAGCTGAGACACACGTTGTGCTTTGGGAAGCACACGTGCATACTTTCCAGATTTGAAAATCAGAAGAGGAGGAGGAGGAGAGGGCCGGGGGGAGCGCTCAGCCCCCATTAAAGCCCCCGGGCGGGCTCGCCAGGATCGCACAGAACTGAAAGCAGGTAGAGACACTTCCTGCAGGCAGCACCGCAGAAGGGAGTTTTCCTCTGATCTCCCTCAAAAACCAATCAGGCCAGATCAGCCAGGCGTTGATTCTCCTTCTGTCCCTCCTACACCTTTCCCAAAGACCCAATGGCCTTGTCCCTCTGGGAGATTGACTAGAGTCACATGAGCCGCACCGAGGGCAGGTAACTCAGGAGAGGCGAGGGGGGGGGGGGGTAAAAAAAAAAAAAAAAAACAGGCTCAGGCTGGGCTTCTGCCATGATGTCAGAGGGAAAGAAACCCACAGCTTGCTAATTTCACCTCCCAATCGGCCCCGGGAAAAGGAGATCACCGGGAACAGGTAGAGATGCGAGTTTTCTTCGTTTTCCTTTTTTTTTGGTCTCCAAAGACCTGACCTCTGAACAGCTCTTTCTCTCCTCTTAATACCGTACTCTTCATCTCTCCTTTCCCCTTCGATCACTTGGAGGTAGGGGGTGAACCTTTGCGGGATTTTGTTGTTCCTTTTTTTGTCCGTTTGCGTGTCTTTCTTTTACTTTTTTTTTCTCTTTTTTTGACCTCTGCTTTTGATTGTAGTTGTTTCCCCCTGTGGTCATGACGGCTTCGCACAGTGACTCTTTGGTGGTGTTGTTTGGGGCAACAGCTGGTGCATATGGGGCTAAACTGGGTTCGGATGAGAGGGAACTAATTCTCTTGGTGTGGCAAGTTGTGGATCTCCCCAGCAAGAAGGTACGGCTTCGACACCCGGCGAGGGCGCGTTGCGGGCGGCTGCCGTTTGTTCATTTCACAAATGCACCCCGGGCAGGGCAGACCGGCCCTCCGCTCACCGCGTTACTCCTTCACAAAGCCCTTCCGTCCTTGTCGGTTTTGTGCCCGTTTCAAGGGAAGAGAGAACGATTTTAAGGAAAGCTAGGCCGCTTCCCGCCGCCCCCCGCCCCGTCCTTGCCGATCCGTCGGTGGTTCCCACTTCGGGGACGTCTCCTGCAGCCTCCCAGCACAAAGCTGGCTGCAGCTCGGACGCGCACGCTGCCCCGGCGGCTCTCGGCGTAACCGTCGGGCCCGGGGCGGCCTGCAGCGGGCGGCTTTTGTTGTTTTTTAACCGACGTCTGGCAAACGCTTAAGAGAACCTTAAATTCCTTTAATTTTTATGCTAATCTGAAAACGTGTTCCAGTTTCCAACCCACCACCCCCTCCCCCCCCCCCAAAAAAAAAAAAAAAGAAAGAAAGAAAGAAAGAAAGAGAAAGCCCTATTACGAATAAGAGTCCCTAGAGATAAAGGGCTTTGACAAAATGAAGACGTTTGCTTTGATAAAACGATCCATTTTGTGAAGAGATCTGGGAAGCTGCCTTAACACTAGATGATTTTCCCCTTACGTTGAGCAACTCCCTCTAAAATGAGCTCTGCGTGCCATGAAGGCCAGCTCTGGTGCCCGGAGCAGACAGCGTGGCTCTCCCGGGTGGGAGGGGAAGAAACCCAGGCGAAAAGTTTCGATTTGTGAAATCGACAAATGCTTTTTCTCATTGTGATCGTTACTGGGGCAGAGATACTGCACCTTGCTGATTTTTTTTCTGCAGTCTGAAAGCATTGTTACCAAGAGCCGTTCGTTTGTTCCTCACTTTTGTCCCTTGTTTCTTAAATGTTTTTAGGTAGGGACGCTACACAAATCCCTGGTGAAAGCAGACAATTTGGAGTTAAGTGACCAATGTCGTGAAGTGAGTGGTTTAACACCAGAGGGACTGGGCAAAGCTGAGCCTCTGGACCGGGTTCTTCAACAGGTGAGATGCTGCTCTTCGGAAAAGGGGCTCTTCAGGGTGAACTCTGGGGACGACGCCCAACTATTTGATAAAAGAAATACTTTAACTGTCTTTCACTTTGAAGTCATTGGCAAGTTGTTGTGTTTGTGACAAAGCGAACCTAAACAAGATCTGAAACAGTTTGAATTGGGAGCCCTGGAATTCTGAAAGAGTTGTGTTCAATGCCAGCTGATTCTCAGAAGCTCTGGCTTCTGATTATTCTGATAGGCACACACTTGTGTTCCAAATTTCTCCTGCCCGAGACTTTCTTTTTTTTAAAGTAGAATGATAACAGCAGTACTGCTTAAACTTTTGAAATGCAGGTGGCACGTGTTAATCTAGGGCTCATTGCTGTAGTGTGAATCATCTCTCAATTGTTACTCTTCAAACTGGATGAATTCTTTAAAAACTATCTTATGTGGAACGCAGCTTTTTGATCTATATCAGTCTTCCTGATGAGCTTAATTAGTGATTGATTGTTTCTTCAGTTTCTGTATTCTACTCTGACTTATATCACACTGATCTGTGATTTGGTATGGTCCTTTCACTTCTAGAGGCCATCAATTACTTTAAAACTTTTAATGTGAATACTGTGTACTTACTCAGTTCCTGAAATTTTACTTTCTTTCCCTTTTATACATACAAAATGTGCTCGAGTGGAAAAATACAATAGTGCATTTTTGTGGAACATATAAGACTGGCTTTCCACACCTTGTCTGAGTCACTTGTAGGTGTGTTTCAGCAAGAAACTTGCTTAGGCAGTAGAACAGGTTCGTGTTGCTGTAAGTTCTGGTGACACAGAGATAGCTTGGCAGACTGACTCCTAACCCTCTTTGATATGGAACGGCTAACATTTCACTCTGGAGGGGTATCTTTAAAAACAGAAATATGTAACTGCAGTGTGTCTTAGAATTTCTTGACATCAGCCATGAATGCCATTCGTTACACATTTTGCTGGATTCTAAGATCGAGAGGTGATTTAAAAAAAAATTTTTTTAAAGCTTCAAAATAACCCCTGAGAAAATGCACAGCTGCAGGTTTGGTCTTGTCCCAGATCTTGCACTAAAGACATCTGGAACAGCTTAGCCTAGTACACTCTGTTTACCTTTATAACAGACACACTTTAATTATACTCAATACTTTATGAGAGATTGTATCTTATTGCTGTAAATTGCAGTGTAGGTGGGTCTGCGTTAGCAAATAAAAGGAAATACTACCTTTGCGTGTAGGTGTGGTAGGGACTCTTGAAAAACAACAGTTTTATCCCTTTTGTTGGACATATCTGTGCAACTAGTGATTTTGCTGTTAATTGTGGCATACCAGTTGTGATGCAGCTGGTTCTGTCCTGGGTCTCCTAGAACACCCTTCACCTCAGCTTGTGTCCCTGCCCCTCCATGCTTCCTGTCTCTCTGGGAGTTTGTGGAGAATTAGTTCATCCTTTCATCCTTTCACCTCCAATTGTAGCAAAAGGTAGAATTCTGTATTTTTTAACAGAAAACCCTTTTCTGCATTTTTTTTTTTTTTTTTAAGTCCATTAAATGATTTAACTGCATTGTGTATTTTTAAGGATGTTCCAGGTGTTCATAGGTACATGTAGATTTTTTTTTTTTTTTTTTTACCCTCATTTAAGTATTTTGATTAGCCAAAGCACAGGTAGATGAAGTGATTATTTGAAAAGGAGGAGGAAAAGGAAGTAAGGTTGTACCTTGATTTGAGATAATGTTATAGAGTATGTGAAATTAGCTTTCCACACCCTGCTTGGGTTGTGGTAGAGAATCTGATGATGCAGCTGCAAATTGCTCACTTGAACACTCAGCCTTACAAATAAACGTTTTCAGTGCCTGCTTCTGGCTTTTTCCTTTGGTTCTCAGCCTCTGCATGTAGAGGGAAGTGAGACTCTCCAAGCATAAAGCCATTGTAACTTCTGTCTGCATTTCGGAGATTTCTTCCAACCTCAACCACTCTTTGATTCTGATTTGGCAAGTCATAACTGATAAACAGTAGATGAACTTCTGTGGGCCTGGAGTTTTTCCACTGACTGTGGAAGACCTGCTAATTTTTAGTTCACTTTCCAGGAATGATGGAGTCTACCAGTAGCCTATAGTCTGTGGTTATGTCTGTCCTCCCCAACAAAGCACTTCCACAAATGTTGCATCATTTCAGTTGTATTTCATATTCTGCAGCATTGCATCTTACGCAACTTATACTTGGATTTGACTTCAGTATTCTGGAATAGATGTTTTCCCTGATATATTTTACTGTGTAACTTTACAGAGAGACATTCTGAATCTCAGTGCCCCCTAAATAAACAACATTTATATTGTGTACATTTTGCTGCAAGGTTTTAAATATTGGTTTTGTCCAAGCTCACAAATGTTTGATTCCACACGTGCTAGTGCATTTATGGGATCCACCTGTATGTTCTGGCAGGTGATGTGCCATGTTTGGCATGAATGTTTAGATAGCTGTTTTGGTTGGGGAAGAGGGAATCCTCACAGCGTACAAATATTAGGGTTTATTATTATTATTTCACCTTGGAAGCAGTCTGCTTGATGTATTTAGTTCAAAGTGAAAGTTGTAACTTGGCTCTGTTTTTGAGCCACAAATGGTGAACATATAACTGCTGACAGAAATGTGTTGTAAGTGAAGAATGCTACTGGGTAGAAAAAAAATGAGGGTTGTTTTTTTTTTTTTTAAACAAAGTAGGAAATCTCAGGTTCAATGTATGTCTGGAACTGTCTTGAACCTGTGGTGTAAACCCCTTAGCACATGTTACCTACAGGACTTACTGAAGGGAGCAGTGTCCTACATTGCTTCCTGCATTTCTAGGGCTTCCTTGCCAAATTACTTGGGTCAGATCTAAATCATAGCGCTGGCTTGTTTAGGATGTGATTTAGAGTTTTCTGAATAACTGCTGTAACTTTATGGTTTCCCAGTTTCAAAGACTATAGGGGAAGAAGAGGTTTCAAGTTGCTCTCTGAAACCTCACAGGATTGGAAGCTTGCTTTAAAGGAGCAAAGCCAGAATGAACTTTGCCTTTCTCTCATCCCCATGATTCTGTCATTAAAAAGGCTAACATCTTCAAATGCTTCTCTTATTATAGCCATGGGGATTCTTAAGTTAAAGATCGAATACGAAGTTGAAAGTGTTGCGGATTTCTTAATCCTTCCCATGCAGAAAACCTGGCTGAATCAGCATGATTTGCCTTAAGACATACTACTTTCCTTTTGCAAGATGTTATTTGCATGTCACCCTGACAAAGGATACAGTCTCAGAAGAGCTAACAATTTTGAAGATCTGACTGAAGTATTTAGCTGTAATTACCTACTTACTTTGAACCATATACATGAAAAGGGAGTTTCTCATGAGAGCTGGGTCTGCTTTGAGCGCATTGAAAGCATCCAAATTTCACCTGTGGAGTGACATTTCAGCATGAAGAATTTGTCTGCAAGGCTGTCCTAGTCTTGCTGATCTTTCATCACACTGTGTTGGATGCAGTATGTTAGTGATGCATTTGGTTTGGATTCTTAAACATAGAATGACCAACCTGTTCATTTTGCCCTTCTTCACTAAACTGTGCATAAAGTAAAACTAGTGAGAGGCTGTCACTTCATCAGGTGATAACAAGGTACTAGTTCTCTAAAGCCTGTTTGAATGCTTATTGATAGTTCACCTCAGCTGCAGGAGCAGTTTATTTTCTGAAGTATCAAGAAATTCTGCAAGAAGCAAGCTGGTTAGGTGAGCATTGGGAAAGAAATGGGGGAAGAGGTAGAAGAACCACTGAATTCCTCTAACCTGATAAACCGGTTACAACTTTTTAAAGAGAAACTTGTTCTGCAGCCTCCTCTTCTCAAAATGCTAGCAGAAACTGTTCTTGGCTCCTTCTTTCCAGCTGTCACACTTTCACTTTGGATAAATGATTTTTTTTTAAATATATATTTTTTTAATGCACCTCTTAGGCTTCAGACTGGAGAAGGAAGCCTGAAAATGTGTGCTGACTGCCAATCAAAATAAATATGAACCCAAAAAATACAGGACACGAAAAAAGGAGATTCATATGTATGTTAGTGGTAATGCTGGGCTGTTCTCCTGGATTAGAAGGTTAATTCATGTTGTTTTGTTTTTGGCCACCTTAAGTATAGCTAACTCAAGAACAAAGAAGCATATAAATATTTGTCTGTGTTCAAAGACATTTTATTGAAACTGATAATAGCCTAAATTTTATTTCTTTATTTGGTGCTGTGTCTGGTCTTCCAGTGTGAGATTATTTGGTGACTGTATTGGCCCAATGTAACACTTGCTAGAGTCTATATGTTGGAGTATTTGCTGGGTCTGAGTCTGGAAGTTTTGGAGCAGGTGTTTGAGAAACCTTTGGCAAGTGTTACTGAGCAGGCTGTTCTTTCCACAGCAAATATTTAGGGTGTAGTTTCACAAGACTTGGCTTCAGCAGTGAAGCCAGCTTTTTCTCCCCATGTCATAATTTGCCATCCTCTTTGTTGTAACAGTAAAGCTTTTTGTGAAGCTGTGCTATGATCAGGATCACTGAAATGAGCAGATAGGGTGGGATCTTCTAAACTGCTTTGCTGTCCAAGCTTACATCCCGTGAAACTACACCCTTCGGCTTCTTTCATGATCCAGCTTGTTTGATGGTGATGCCAGCTTAAAGTATTTCTGCCCCCACATCGTGCTCTCAAGCTGCAGTTGCACAAAAACTTTGTGGCACCTTTCACTTAGTGGTTCTCACATGGACCTCTCTCCCCTGCATTCTGATAGTACACGGGGTTTGGGGGCTGCAAATGGAGCAGGACGCAGTTCTGAGTTGAATACCAGCTCTGGAGTGGATCTTCCTGAGCAGTGCAGCAGATAGATAGTTTGAGGACAGCCACAGTGCCAAGGTGAGGGCAAGCATGCGGGTGAAATGAGAGAAATGCTTTAAGGCAGGTAGGATGCCAAGCAGTTTGTAGTGTGGCCTTGGTTTTGTG